GGCACCCGATAGACAAATTGATTATTAATGCTCCTATCCAAGGCTTAGACTTCAATCTACTCCCAGCTCGTCCGGATTTCGGCATGGAGTCTGTTTTTACGGCTGTTAAAACGGACTATTGGCCCGTTTCTTAGCTTTGGGCAACAACTGCCGACAATTCATAGGTTTACTGTAGAACCAGACTATGCTTGTGCATGCGCGTTCCGAACATGCATTGAGTCTGCCCTGTGTAGTTACAAGAGCATTTTTGGCATGGAAAGTGATACACTTACCCAAACTACTTATTAGTACATAACTGACCTCCGATTTTCATAAACTTGTTGTGTGTGATGGCTTTGTGTCGGTGTACAATTTCAACGCTTACAGCAGCAGTGCACTTGGGGCTCCTTAGTATATAGCAAAGCATTCCACATCCTTGTTGGCTTTCCACTTTGATTTCCCCTAGCCGGAACACGTAAACATCTTCTTTGGGTAACCGTTAAACATAAACTGGTCTTGCAGCTATCAGGGCTAATTGGTCCTCCGACTTGCTGCATGAAGTGTAAATCCTTTCGAAGTGCGGTTCAATAGAGGCGATCACAAACCGACAACACGGCGGACCCGTGGCTCAAGAGTTAGAGCGTTCACCTCTGCTCGGAAAGACGCGAGTTCGAAACTCGTGTGCGGCGGCAATTGTCGCTGCTACACTGGAGTTGGGCTACCACCACCTGATGACGCCCAATGAGGCAGAAATGGCCGTAGTGGTGTGCTCTGTGTTTGTCGGTAAAATACCGGAGGCGATTGTTTGCATGAAGGCAACGAAAACCACACATCTTCTCAGCTTTCACAGCAACTTTCCGACAGCTCGCAAGCGCTACTCCTTAAGAACGGTCTTCAATGTCATCTGGATTCATTGCAACAAGTCATGAGTTCCATTTTATAGCCGTCAGTATAATTGGCACCCCAAATACAACGACGGATCGGACTCAAAATTATTCGGGAATTAGAAATGTTTTAAAACCCAAATAAACCCGCCCGTTGAGAATATCATTTGCAGGTGTGATTTTTTCTCAACAATATAAGCATAACTATTGCTGTATACTTTTTCTATGAGATATATTTGAGTACGTAAAGACAGCAAAGAATTGAATATCGCCAAAGTATACATGTTTAGTGGGTGCTAGTTTCGCAGGTGACCTAGAAGACTTACATTTTGGCATGGCCACATTATTATGGGATAGTACTGCACCATCATAGATGTTAGAATTCCACTGAAGTGGGTCTCTTAAAGCTGAAACACATTTCGTACATTCAGTCAACGTTTCCTGACATCGGTCACTGACTTATGAATGTTCAAGTCCACAAGGCGTGCCTTGCCTATAAGATCACGTAGACATCGCATGCTGTTTCACACTTTTTTCAAATTACTAAGTTTGAACTGACAGATTTATTGCAAAGTACACTCCTCCCCGCCGAGTGCCTATGGATTAGTCACTCCATCGGATAGCATTATGCATTGTTCTCTTTAACGGCATTAAAGTACTCACGGCTCCGAATTCACGCAACATGCCGACATTTGTGAAAGATTAATACACACTAGCTTTTCGGTATTGAGTAAGGTTGTAAAAGTGATTATCGTATAGCCTATTCTTCAGTCTATTCAGTCAAGATGGGATACTGGCTTTGTAAGGAGCTTCCTTCTGACCACCAACCAAAAAGTATTTACTGTAAAAAGTGGCCTCTTAAGTAGTATGCATTTTATCATTGATTTTGACTGCCTTTATAAATTCAAATATATTTTCTGAAAAACGTGGACGAGAAAATTATTTTTTGCGTTCGTTTGGTACCAAATTAGGCCTTCTTTAACTTGAATACCTAAAGAAAGGGTATCCTTCGGTTTTCGAAAATTCCAAATTATGAGATTTTTACGATTTTGAGGTGCTCATTCATAATATATCTTATCCGACAACTAATTAATACTGCCTATAAGGTATACAGCTGATGTTCATCTTTTGCAGCATTTCTATGCGAGCTATGCGACTTTTGCCTCAAACCGTACGCAAAATCTTTTTTTTCCTTGAACAGAATGTGCACAGCATAATGTTTAGAAACCTTGAATTCAAGGGCAGCAGTCGGTAAATTTCAAAATTATTTGGAAATTTATGAACTTATTACAACCGGTAGATATCCTTTCCTAAAGGGAAAAATTTAAAGCAGGCGTAATTTCGTACCAAATGAATACACGAATAAATATTTTCGTACATGTTTTTATAAAATATATTTGAATTTATAAAGACAATCAAAATCCACGATAAAAATGCATAATATTTGAGTAGTCATTTCTTTCAGAATCTACAATTTATAAGCGATCAGCAAGAAGCTCATTAAAAAGCGGCATTAAAATTTATCGACAAAAACCAACATGTTGGCCCTTCTGTTCGAACCAGGCGAATTGTATGCGTTTCTTTTTGTCTGCAGAGGGCGCGTCCGCAGCGCCCAGTCCCGAGGTGAAACCAAAACAGAACCAGGCCACTAGTAAGGAGGCGGTCCCATTCCGGCGCACAGCAACCTGCAGAATCCCCAATAACGGCGGTATACGCTCTCCCTC